AAATTTTGTTTATATTAACCCTAACTCACAATAATTACCTAAAAGGAACGAACCACTACACCAACGATCAACAACTACACCAACAGCTCCACCAATCCACCATAGGGAGACTAGCAAATTTACGCTACCCATGGGGATTTTTGAAACCAACAATGAAAATTTAAACCAAAACAAGGAGAAATGTATGGGTCGAAAATAGTTTAATTTTGTAGAAATTAGTCTATTTCCAGCCTAATGGCTAAATAAATTAAACCCTGGCCTAGAGGAGAAGAAGGGAGAGAGAGAGAGCACGACTAGGGTTTTAAAAGATTAGTAACTTAACATGACAACTTTTATGTTTGGCCAAACAATTTTTCTAAATCCCTAAGAAGTTAAACTCTATAAGTTACTAGTGTTGTGCCCGTGCGATGCCCGGGTTGTTTATTGAATTTAAAGATAAGTTTTTTAATCTATATGTCAAATTTTAAAATATACCATTGATACAAAATTAGTTTATTGATGTGCTTTTGTGACGATTTACTATCTAGTAGGCATGTAATGACTAATAATAATGTTGGTGGGAATGTTCGATTTAATACATTAAAAAAAACAAATAATAAATTAAATAAGATAAATGTTCAAAGCCCGTTAGGTTGACCAGAACCAAAATCTTTGGGCAAGGGTTGAATATTTCTTGACTCGTAACCTAAAATGAACTCAATCCGAGATGATTCATGACCCGATCCTAATTGACATGTTTATGTAGTAATAAAATCCTATTGGCTGTGAAGTATATTATTTTAACCGATTATTATATATTATAAATAGATGTTTTACGCTTTTTACTAATTATTTCACTCCAAAAAAATATTATGATATGAAAAATAAATTTATATGATAATTTTTGAGAATTATAATCTAATAATTTTTTTGAATAAAATTATAATTCAATTTGTATCGATCTCTGAAATATTGGTATTTTATCGAAAATAAAATTAATATTGGTATTTTATCGAAAATAAAATTCTAAACTTAAAATTTTATCCAAAAAGAATTCTTAATTAATTTGTTTTTATCTTACAAAGTTTATTTAAATCTATCTAACGTGTTGCGACACTTGACAAAAAGTTAGAACGTCAAGTGTCACAACGTCGTGACCTGGCTAAAAAATTTAGCTTTATATATTAGTTATATGATTAGATGTATGTACGCTTTTACAACTACTCTATACAAATTACTCGTTATCTTACAAATTTTAGAAGATTATTACCTTTTTTTTTTTTGTTTTTTTTTTTTCCTAATTGTACTATAAATTATCGTTTATGAATATTGCTCTGCATCTAGTTTTATACTTCGTAGTTCGTACTAGAATTAAGTATGTTAATGTCAATGGCAGATGCGTGGAAAGCGAATAGGCATAGTCGGCCTTGGAAGCATAGGTACATTGGTTGCTAATCGACTTATATCATTTGGTTGTACCATTGCATACAACTGTAGGGAGAAGAAATCCTCTGTTTCGTTTCCCTACTATGCCAATGTCTATGACTTGGCCCTCGACAGTGACATTCTCATCCTTTGTTGATAGTTAACCGAGCAAACTCACCATATAATCGACAAGAAGGTATTGACTGCTTTAGGAAAGGATGGATATGTCATTAATGTTGGCCGAGGTGCTCTAATTAACGAAAAAGAATTGGTGCAATCTTTGGTGGAAGGCGAAATTGGAGGGGCTGGTCTTGATGTATTCGAGTATGAGCCTAATATTTCGAAAGAGTTATTTGGTTTAGAGAATGTAGTCTTATCTCCTCATCGAGCTGCCTTTACTCCACAATCCTTTAAGGCTGTCGAAGACATTGTTATGGCAAATCTGAAACCTTCTATTCGAACAAGCCCTTGATCACTCCCGTAAGATTGGAGTAGAGTATATTAACAAAATTTTTCGTCTAAGTAGCATCAATTTGTTTTTCTTTTTGGTGATTAATTAGAGGGCTACAAATGCGGGCGATAAGAATCAATTTCACAATCCTCTCAAAACCGAGAGAGAAGCTCTAATCATTTGAGCCATCCATCAGTCTCAAAATAGCATCAATTTGGGCCAACTCAATGATAGAGCTTTTTTGTTTTTGTTTTTTTTTTTTTTTATAATTTATTTAAGCTTAAGATCGACATTGTATTGATATATTAATATCGATAGACGTCCATTTGAATTGTTTCTGATATTTAAAAAAATAAAAATAAAAAATATCTTGAACTATAATTTAAATATGGATAGTTGCGATGGATCTCCCTAAACCCATTTACTACGTTTTCCTACCATTTAAAAAGTATGAGAATGCTCTTATGAATAGCTTGAAAACTATTATATCCCTTAACTTAAATAGTTGTTTACCAATTTACCCCTAATTAAAATTTGATTCATATAACCTTTTCCCTTCCCATTATATTCCTTTGTATACCTCTATTGATTCATCTTCTCTCAATCACGTTTCAAAGATACTAGTACCTAGACCTGGTTATTGGGCGGGTCAGGTCAAAGAGGGTCACATTTTATAGGGTAAATATTGGGTCGGGCCAATGCGGGTCGCGGGTCAATAGTGGGTCGATAATGGGCGAGCCTACAAAATATCAATTAAAAAAATATTGGACAAAGCCGTTATTAAGTACATATGAATATAAATTTATCTATGTAATTATTTTTAAATTATCTATTTTCTTTACCAATTAAATTGGAAAAACATTTTGGCCCTATATTGACCCTGTTCAATAAAGGCCATGTCCATTAAAAGCCCTTTAAGCTTGGCCATGACCCTATTATCATTGGGCAACCCTACCCAATAACCACCTCTACTAGTACCTAACTAGATTAGTATGTGGAATGGTAATAGTTAATTTTCTTCCAATATTACTTTGTACTAATAAATACTTCGTTTGAATTATTTAGATGTTACAGAATATATGTAGTTTTGTTGTAGCTTAGTCAGAGTATTTTCCTACCGTGCAATGGTTTCTTCCAATATTAATTTATATTAATAAATAATATTTATATTTTTGAATTATTTAGATGTTATATAATATAATACTTGTAGTTTTGTAGTAGCTTAGTTAGAGTATTTTTCATAGCTTTTAAAAATTAGAGAATTTTTTCAAGATTATTACGGAGTTTATACTTAAAGTAATGTGTAAACCTTAATCATGAACAAAAATCCATTTTTCCAAATTATTACAACAAAATACCATATAATGATATACATAGTCATACAGGATTAGTGACAGACAGACAGTTACAATTAATCTTCTCGAAGGGCTAGTTATGTCTCACACTTCGCATGCGTTAGACCCCCTAGTGTTATTGAATATCTCAAACTAATAGTTTGGATTCACCTTGTTCAACGTATGGCTGTGAGAGGGTCTAACAGAATCCAATACTTAATTCATCATCAATCGCCTCTCAAAATGTGCTACCTATTTCACTAATTTATACTCCATGTTAGATGATGTTTTCTTTGTTTGTAAAGACCTCGAATGTGTGTTGTGGTCTCATGTTTGGAGGAAAGCCATCTCTCATTACCTGGTCAAGTTAATGCCTTCTAAAAATGAACAAGTTTGGGTGGAAAGAATTTTTCTTGTATATAGTAATTAATTATCTTTGTACATGTATGATGTATCATTACCCAAAATTTAAAGGAAAAATGGAAACTAAAAATCCAACCTTTGCGCGGGCAGACAATAAAAACCCAACTTTCCATTAATCTAAAAAAAAATCCAACCTTTATACCCCACCTTCTTTGACAAGTCAATTTGACCTTTAACCTGTAAAACCGGTTAAAAAGTTTTTTTTTTTTTTTTATTTCCTTCTCACTCCTCTTCTTTGTCTCTCCTGTTTACACCACCACCACTTACCCCACCCTACCCAAACCCAAAACCGAAACGCTCTTCCTCCTCCTCCACCTCTCTACACCACCACCACCTCTGCCACCACTTACCCCACCCTACCCAAAACCAGAACCGAAACCCTCTTCCTCTAACGTCCCAACCCAAGACCCCAACCACTCCTGAAAATGTCAACCTTAACACTCCAAAATCGTGGGCTTTCTCTAATGGGAAGTTAATCCTTATTTCGCACTATCATCAACCATTCATCATTACCATCGCTATTTCGCATCATCTGGTATTAAATTGGAGCATCAATTGAAGTCCTTGCTGCGATTGGTGGCCGAAATTGTTATAATTGATGGTCAGATTGTGGTTGTCAATGGCGAATTGGAGCAATCGCGGTTGGTAGCCAAGTGGGGGAGAATTAAATTTTGTTGGGTTGCAGCTTGATTGATTTCGTTGTGGTGCTATGTTGTTGGTGCGATAATGGAGTGTGGAATGGTGGTTTTAGCTTGTGTGGGTGCGTGGCTGGTGCTATGTTGTTGGTGCGATATTGGAGTATGGGACTGTTGATAAATGTGCAAAGCGTAGGGGTTGATGGTGGTTGTTGGTAGCGCTGTCGGTCAGTATTTCAGGGGAGGGAGGGATGGGCTGGTGACAGGGGAAGGTGGTGGTGGGCTGGTGGAAGGGGAAGGATTCTGAATTTTTATTTTATTTTTCTTTTAATTTTTTTTAATAATTAAAAAAAACAATTGATCTATTAGTAGCTGACACGTGGCATATAACTTACAAAAATCGGTCATCAACAGGTTATGGACCTGTCAAAGAAGGTGGGGTATAAAGGTTGGATTTTTTTGAGATTAATGAAAGGTTAGATTTTTATTGTCAGACCGCGCAAAGGTTGGATTTTTAGTTTCCATTTTTCCAAATTTAAAAAGAAAGTGAGTGGAAATATGGATGTTCTTTAATTCCACGTGATATAAGATATTAGAGTAACAATTTGCATTTAATACATATCAATTATTGAACTCAATAATTCAAGGCTCTTATATGAAATACTAGTTCTAAATCAGTTCAAATATGTTCTTTTCCATTCAATTCATAATAAATTGAAATCAATTAAAACTTCCTTTTCCTTATAACCAAAAATGGAATTTCCCATTGTCAAGCGCATCAATGAATGCTTCATCAAACCAAAGTTAGAACAATATTCCAATGAACCATATTTCTTAACTTTATGGGATTTAAGATTGCTTTCTATTCATTCCAATCAAAAAGGTCTTTTATTCACTAAACCTTCACCAAAAGATAATGAGTCTTTCTCATTTGATAACCTTTTAGAGAGTCTTAAGGACTCTCTTGCTCTCACCCTTGTCCATTTCTATCCCTTAGCCGGTCAGCTCACCACACGAATCGACGAAGACCAACAAAAATGTGTGGTCTTCGTCGATTGTAACAAGGGTCCTGGAGCTCAATTCCTCCATGCTACCCTCGATATGACCGTGTCCGATATACTCTCACCTACCTACATCCCTAAGGTTGTACACTCGTTATTCGATAATGATAAGTGTACCGAGGTTAACTTAGATGGGCGGTCTAGGCCATTGTTATCGATCCAAGTTACCGAGTTGGTAGATGGTGTATTCATAGGCTGCTCCATGAATCATGCAATTGTTGATGGAACCTCATTTTGGCATTTTTGGAAGGTATGGTCCGAGATACACAACGCGAATTCAAGGCCGATTTCTATCTCACGCCCACCGTTACTAATAGGCAAAGATTCACCCATTTTGCTATCTTTAAACAATAACGAACTCGAGGAGTTTGTTGTTCGATACGAACCTCCACCCGAGTTGATGGAGAGGATGTTTCATTTTACGTCACAGTCAATGAAGAGGCTAAAAGCGAAAGCCAACAAAGATAGTGTTAACAACGGTAGTGGTGTTATAATCTCTTCTTTACAAGCACTTGTCGCGCTTGTTTGGCGTGCAATAGTTCGAGCTTATGAACTAGTGTTATACTACAAAGCAATAAAACATAAATTACTTATCTCTTGATGCGTGAACCAAAGTGACAATAGCCGCGTCGTGGAGAACCACTGACCTAAAAGACGATTCCGCGCTACCTCCCGGTGCAGTAGACTAGAAGCGGTTGCCCTCCAGGATAAGCACGGCTCCGGAGTTTATGTGCACTCACAAACCCGACTAGAACCCAGAATACTTGCCCAGAAAACAGAACAGAAGAAACTCGTGTTTAGATAATTTGAGAGAAGAGAGATAACTGATTGTGTTATGTGTTTTTGACTGGAAAAAGCAACGAGTATATATAAGCAGTAGAAGGGAAACATGAAACGTAAAACGAGGGACGAATCTGGCTAAGAAAACGACCAGATTCATTCAAACAGTCAACAGCGGAAGCAAGAAACAAGGAATTAATTAGTCAGCTATAATCAAGGGATTAATGACTGACTTAATTCCGTAATCCCAACAGTCAGAAAAAAATATGCCCAATAGACAAAAACGAATATTCTATTTAACAAAGAAAAGGAAATAAAATTTCTCCAAAAAGATAACAAGGACCCACGCCCGCGCATTGCATTCCCCAAGACCTGAGGCCCGAGCCCGGCCCGGCCCGCGCACGCGCGCATGTGTGTGGAGTAACACTTAACTCCCACTCACTCAACTAAGTAGTGTTAAGACACTACAATATAAAAACAAGGAAAAACCTTTCCCCCCAACCAATGTGGGATTTTTCCCTTTCATTTGTTTTTCTCTCTCTCTTGTTATCCCCAACCCTCTTATCTTATATCAAGAATTTCCAACAACTAGCACCAAATGAGGTGACTAATTGTCACCTAGCAGTAAATGTTAGAAAAAGGCTAGATCTGCCACTGCCTGATGATTATTTTGGAAACGCGCTAAGTAACATCATGACTAGTACCACAACAGGTGAACTGCATAGCCAAAGTCTAGGGATGACAGCCTCATTGTTGAATGTGACTATAAGAAAATACACCAACGATAATGGGTCCATTCGTTCGGACACCCATTGGGCGGAGGCTCCGTCTTTTATTGATCTAAGTACATTTTCGGATTTGAGAAGTGTAAGGTTTGGAAGCTCGCTGAGGTTTGAGATATATTTAACGAGTTTAAGGGTCTAGGGAGAACCGTCGCGGTTAGAAGTGGTAACGGGAATAAATTTGTAGGGAAAGTGAATACTTACCTTTGATGTGAAGGTGGTGGAAGTGTTGATTTTGAGATATGTTTATTGCCTCAACAAATGGCTCTTCTTGAATCTGACCAAGAGTTCAAGGATTTTGCTTCTTTTACCATCTAAATACTACCTCCGTTACAATTTATGTGCAACGATTTGACATAAAGTAGAGAGGGAAAATGTGTAATCGTTGCACATAACCTGTGTTGGAGTTTTCTTCACTAGTAATGCAAATCGGAGTTTCATTAAGTGAGTGTGCAAGGAGTTAGAGAGGGAATGATGGAGAATGCAAGTCTAGGGGATTGATCAAGGCCGAGCTAGCAAGAAAGCTAGAGCTCGGATGCTAGGAATGCCTACGGCATGGCCGAGCTAGAGCTCGTTTCCATCAGTGGTGTCCAGCAGATCCGAGCTATAGCTCTCCTATGCGTGAGCTACTAGCTCGCTTCTTCTTTGGCTAGCTGGAGACCGAGCTATAGCTCTCATACGGGAGAGCTACTAGCTCACCCTCTGTTTTCACTTGCGGCAGTCCGAGCGAGAGCTCCCTGCGAGTGAGCTATAGCTCTCTACTCGCAAGCCCAACCGAGTATATGGGCCTTGCGTGAGGCTCAAGCTTCTTGTCTCTTTTCCTTATTACTCCTATAAATACAACTCATTCTCCTTTATTAAAAACCACGTTAATTTCATTATTGAAATAACCTAAACACAAAAACAAAAACCTACCCTTTAAGATTTGAACAGTTCTTGAGTAATTCCACGCTTCGGGTTCGGGTACACGAATTACGAAGGAGAGTTGCGTTAAACTTGGGGGGCGTGCGTCATCAGGAAACCTGTACCGGTGGTGGCGTATTTCGCTTCTAAGGCAGTGGATTATGTTCCACGGCGCGACTGTGAGTTTGAGATCTTCGACCAAGTATGTTTTCCCTTTCATCTTCTCTATTTTGTCATTGGAATCAACGGATATTCTACCAACAATTTAGAAGCGAAATAGTATTAATTTATTATACTGTTGATTCCTAGATTATTCAATTATAACTAGTATGATCGGGATGAGAATTATGATTCGGATGATCAATATATTTTTTCGAAATTGATTTGGGATCGTTAAGTCAACGTCCATTATTATTCAATGTTCAAGAACCCTAATTTTTTGGGGATAAAATTAATTTATCCATCAGATTACAATATCCGTGTTCAATGTTGGGTGGATGAATTCAGTGAAGAATGTCCAATCATTGATAATTTAATTGCAGCCCACGTTATTTAATTGTGACTCATAGTGGACTTTGTGTCAGTAAGATGAAGGAATTTATTTCCAAGTTTAGTCCATTAACAACAAGGAACCTTCGGTCAAACGGGTTTTGGAAATTTGAGAAAGGTAATGCTCATCATGTGATTCATGTCGAAGGATATTGCTGCGGGTAGTGATTGATTAACAAGGCTCGCGATAGTTCTCGGGTTTCTCCAAGCAACGAGTTTGGTCATGGTTCGTGTACTGTTTATGTGCAACTGACATACCATGATAATCGAGAGGTCGCACTAGACGGATGACATCGATGACCAATTTTGTGCCAATTATCAGGAAAGTTTCCTCTCAAATTTTATTGTTGTGACTAAATTCTAACTTTATATAATATGTTTATTATATGTGCCCCAAGTATGCATAATTTAATTATTATGATGTATTGTGTAGCAATGTGGGGCTGATTTGAGTTAGATCTTGAGACTAACTAGTATGTTAGTATTACTCTTGTTCAAGAGTGGTTTTGAGAAGGAAGGTTTCCGTAAGAGATGTTTATCTGTGGCTATCTGTTGTTGACTTGTTGTTTTACAAGTAATTTACCTCTGCTAATGTATGTTTTGTCCAATGATAATTTACTTAAACTCATGGACTTTAATGTGATTTGTCCTAGTAGATTAGGGATGATATATAAATATGTTCTATCTTATGATAGTGTTTTTATTGTTATTTTTCCTAATCATGGACAATGTTTTGTTGAGCACGGAGTATGTGATAAGCTTGTAAGTGTCCCTTTTTTAGATTAAAAAGGGATTTAGAATTATTGTTGCTTTTAATTTTTGTGATCTTAATCAGCTTTGTTCACAAACTTGAAATGTATTTAATTGGCTAGAGGTGTAGCAATTATTTTTCTTGTTGATGGTGTAGATGAGATCGGGTTGATTTCCGTGCTTATTGGCAGAATAAAAAGTTGACTTAACAAAGCTAGAATGGTCGTGCAAGTTTGAAGTGTAAGTGCCCCACATGAGGTAAGGATGGGAATTAACATTCCATATGTCTTCAAAATATTTTAATATTCTGTGAATATTAGTAATGTGGGAGTTGCAGATATGTTTCAGTTGTTTATTTGTGTAGCAAGTAGTTCACCCAAGAATTTGGTTGATACTCCCTTATTTGTTACCCGGTGCATGATTACGCTAGTAGAAAAAAAGCATTAGGCACCCCCATATGGCACCGGTTCAAGCTAAACTGGTGGCCAAAACCGGTCTGGAAATGGGCGGGATTTTACCAAAAGAGAAAAGGCACCGATTTAGCCTGAATCGGTGCCTAAAATTAAAAAGGCACCGGTTTGAACCGGTGCCATTTAAACCGGTGCCAAATTAAAAAAAAAAAAAAAAAAAACCGCGGCTTTCCTTATTCTTCTTCCTCTCTTTCTCTTTCCTTCCCTTCATTCGTTCTATCCCTTCTTTCGTTCTCTTTCATTCGTTCTGAATTGAAGTGCCTCCCCCTTTTCCCTCACCACAGCCGCCACCTTCACCGGCCACAGAGGAGTCGAAAACCACTGCCCCTCTCTGTCATTCCTCCCTTGCCCTTCTGTTTTCCCTTTCTTTCTCTTTGCTGCTTGTTCCACCACCGCGCACCACCCATTGCTGCTTGTTCCACCACCGCGCACCGCCCATTGCTGCTAGTTCCACCACCGCGCACCCATTGCTGCTTGTTCCACCACCGCGCACCGCCACTACCACTCCACCGCAGTGCTGCCTCCACCATTGCGCACCACCGTTGTTGCCCTCCTTGTCTCCTCTTAGCTGCTGCCCTCCTTTTCTCCTTCCATTCAAGGTTTCTTTTTAATTTTTTTTTACATTATTTTCCAATTATATAATTATATATTAATTTATTTTTCATTTTGAACCATTGTTAGTAAATTAAAATTTAGGTTTGCATATAATTTTTCTCAATTTTAGGTTTGAATATAATTGTGAAATTGTGAAAATATTAGAGATTAGTAACCTTGTTACTCAATTAGTTGGATTTTATTATGTTTTAATGGTTAATTTAATGTGTTTTGGTGGATAATTTTAAAATAATTATAGAATATGTACTTAAATAGGTGAAATTTGGTATTTTACTTTTAATGGTTAGTTTGAAGTTGTTTTGATGGATTATTTTGAATAAGTTAGAGATTAGTTAACTTTGTTATTAAATTAGTTGAATTTTGGAATGTTTAAATGGTTAATATTAAGTTGTTTTGATGGGTATATTTGAATTAATTTGAGATTAGTAACCTTGTTAGTTTAGCAATTGTTAGTTCAATGAATGATGTGTTTTAGCTTATAAATAAATTAGTGAATTGACATGTAATTAGAAAGAAATAGTACATACCTTATATTTAACCTAATTTTTGTTTATTTTTTTTTTAATAGATTTGTGAATTGAAGCACGAGTTTAATTAGCTTGAGGATCACATATTGAGCTCAAGTGGGTAGTTGCTATATTGGTATGACTTATAAACTTTACTTAGCTATATTTCTTTCTATTTATCCATTTAATAAAAGTTTATTCATGAAATTGCAACTTGTGTATTGTTTAATTGCAAATAAATACAAC